TAGATTTGAGTGATGGTGATTACGAGCTCGGTTTAACGGATTTCGAAACATACAATACGATACCAAACGTAAATTCGTCGAATAATAAATTTTACTATGGTGCTAACGATGAAGAAATTACGATTCCTAAAGGATCGTACGAATAGCGCGCCATATACGAATATCTGAAACATGCAATTTCACATTCTCCAAAAACAGTGCGTTCCAAAAATAATCCATATAGAGATGACGAGAATGAATATCCTATAATAATTCGTGCCAATAATAATACGATGAAGAGTGAAATAAAATGTGTTTATAGAATAAATTTTAACAAACCAAACAACATTGGCTCGCTTTTGGGATTCTCATCGAGTCGTATATTAGAACCGCATCGATGGTAAGAATCGGACGCACCGATTAAGATTATCAACGTGAATATCATTCGTATAGAATGCAGCGTTGTCAGTGGTGCGTACAGTAACAGTATGCGTATACATACGATACATGAATTCTCGCCTAAGGTGCTACCAGGATATAAGATATCGGAAAAACCGACACATGTCATTTACCTTCCAATCATCGCACGGAGCATTACAGATTTAGCGGTGCATGTAGTTGATCAAGAAGGACAATCGCTCGATTTTCAAAGAGAAGAGATTACCGTTAGATTGCACGTACGACGGCGACGATAATAAACGTAATCTATGAAATGCTTGTGGTGAATCAAGTGGAACAGGTGAAACAAGCTGGAAATATACTTTTTACGAGACGCGCAATTAACAGTACAAAATCCCTCGTTCGAAAAAAACTCAGCGCGTTGAACGTTGAATTTTTGAAATCTCTGGGATTCACCGTACGAAACGATTGAGAAAGATGATTAACATTGGAAATGAACCGGTCTTTGACGAGCGCATCGTCAAGATTGAGACACATACGTACAATCCATACGCTAACACAACGTTTGGACATAGCGACGAGATACGAATACCCATACAGCAGCAGGATTTATACATATTGCCATGTGAGAGTTATCTCTATGTCGAGGGGAAGGTGACGAAACAAGTTGCAGTCGATGGTGCGACTGTAACGTTGGGATATAATGGTGTTGCATTCATGTTTGATGAGATCCATTATGAACTGGATGGTGTGGAGATTGATCGTAACAGAAACGTGGGAATAACTTCAACGCTCAAAAACTATGTATCGATATCTTCAGATAAAAATGCCATCATGAAAAATGCCGCGTGGGATACGACTGACACTATTTCGCCGGACGGGTACTTCAACTTTTGTGTACCGCTCAACGTTTTGCTAGGATTCTGTGAAGACTACAAGCGTATAGTGATTAACGCGCGACACAAATTGATTCTATTACGATCGCGCAGCGACAACAACAGTCTACTAGGATTTTCAGCGCTGGATCCTAAGATTGAGCTATTCAAGATACAATGGCGAATGCCTCACGTAATCTTGAACGATATCAATAAACTTTCCATGCTGAAAACTTTGGAGGATGCACGATACCTGAGCATGAGTTTCTGCTCGTGGGATCTGTATGAATTTCCTCTACTGCAAAGCACGACCAAACACTTGTGGACTGTCAAAACTGCTACTAATTTGGAGAAACCTCGATACGTTATCTTTGCGCTGCAGACTGGCCGGAAGAATGTCATGTCGGAAAATATAACTCGTTTCAATGACTGCAAATTGATTAACGTGAAGCTCTATCTGAATTTAGAGCGTTATCCGTACGACGACATGAATTTGGTCTTTACCAAAAATAAATACGCCGTAGTTTACGATATGTATAGACGTTTTCGTAAATCATATTATGGATGCGACAATGCTGAGGTATGGTTAACAACTACCGACTTTCTGCGGCTAGGTCCTTTCGTGATTATCGATTGTTCGCGTCAATATGATTCCGTCAAGAATGCCACTGTGGATGTGCAGATAGAATTTGAGTGTAAGGAAAATATACCGGCAAATGCTACTGCATATTGTCTCAACCTGTATGATTGTGTAGTTGAATACAGCCCGCTAACCGACATAGTGCGCAAACTTAACTAACATCAGAAAGTATGTATGTATTGCGATGTAATAACCATATGAAAAATTGCGCCTTACAGAATGTACTAAACATTTTCAATTGATGGTCTTGGGGAGAATTGTACGACGCTTAATAAAACATTATTTCAAATGTACAGATGTTTCTTCCAACACGCTTATCCCCTTTCACCTCTTAGGATTTTATATGATAATTTTGTTTGATAAAAATACAGTTCTTTATTTGCGGTATGATGATTATAATCATAATAATTATTAGACGTTCGATAGACATCCGATAGACATTCGAGAGACGTTCGATAGATGTCCGATAGACGTTCGAGAGACGTCCGATAGACGTTCGAGAGACGTTCGAGAGACATCCGATAGACGTTCGAGAGACTTCCGATAGACGTTCGATAGTAATCGCGGGGCCCAGGTTCGACCCTACCTACACCGCCGCCATGTTTGTTCTTTTGACGTATGCGTGACGTCACGGTCGCCATCTTACCCGTAAGGTGACGTCTACTAGCAATAGGCGACGGTGGTCTAGAAGGTTCGAGCGCTCGATAGCAACCGCGGGACCCAGGTTCGAGTCTGGCCTATACCGCCGCCATGTTTTTCTTTTGACGTATGTGTGGCGTCATTACACATACTGTAAGAACCTTCACTAGACGTCTACTAGCAACAGTCAGCAATGGTCTAGGAGGTTCGAGCGTCCGATAGCAACCGCGGGACCCAGGTTCGAGTCTACCTACATCCCGACGCGTTTTTTCTCTCGTGACGTCATCATACACACTGTAAGAACCTTCACTAGACATCTACTAGCAACAGAGGCAGCAATGGTCTAGGAGGTTCGAGCGTCTGATAGCAACCCGCGGGGCTCAGGTTCGAGTCTACCTACAGCCCGACGCGTTTTTCTCTCGTGACGTCACGGCTGCCATCTTGCTCATAGAATCAAAAATTCTGGGGAGGAGGAGGAGGGTACCAATAAAGAGGGGGTATCAATTAAGAGGGGGGTCGATTAAGAGGGGGTATCAATAAAGAGGGATATCAATTAAGAGGGGGAATCAATAAAGAGGGGGTATCAATAAAGGGGGGTATTAATTAAAAACTATTAATTAATAAATAATGTCTTTTGCATAATTAATTAGCAATTTGAGTTAGAATCCTCCTTTTCTATCTATTTCAATTACTGCAATATCAATGTGATATTACTATGATGATAAAACTGTGTTTGGAAAACTCGAGATGTCTTTTCATAACTGACATTCATACTTGTTTAAGTCAGTCTTTAGGCTTTTTAACTAATGCTATTCCTCTGACATCATCATTTTGATGATGTATTTCTAATCCAAATACGAGATTACGTAAAATTAGGGTTATGAGCAATTTGAATAATTTGATTACTAATCGTGGACCCCAAAGTGAGTTGCTTAACCGTCTTTTTCTTTCCCAGAGCACTCATCTATCATAACTCAATTACTCACGCCGGTTAACTCAACACACTCACGCCAACAGTGCGCTCCTCTGCATATTCTCATCATTGTAGAAATCATAGTTTTTTTTTACAAATTTATCTTTTTATACAATTTTTTTCCCGCGAGTTACTGAGAATTTGAGACTGATATCTTGTATCGTATCAGCAGAATAACCACCTCTAAAAAGATTACTCAATTCCTTTGTACTCACGTAACATTTTCTGCCTTAATTGGTCTATCCAACCGGGACTGATCCATGATGGCTGATGGCAAAGAATGATCCGTAAACGCTTAAATTTATCTTACAAGGAGATGACAAGACATGTAAAATCGATAATTGAATGAGTCATATTTTATTCAAATGGAGGGTTGAGTACATAAAAACCCTAAAAGGGTTTGCGTGCATAGGCCTTCGTTTGCGAGAAATATGCAATTAAAAACATAGCTACATGTTAAATGTAGTAATTTGGAATCAATAAACGTAAAGCGCGGTAGCCGCGGAAGCTAAGGCGCGCGCTAGTATCTTATCGACCCAGCAACTGTTTGCGGCGTGCGGCAAGATATAGGTCCGGCGAGATAAAACAACGAATAGCGGCGCTTTGTCCTATTTACGTCCGAGGAGTGGGTTCGAATCCTCGGAATACCAATTTTTTTTTATAATACAATATTATGTTTACAAGAACCAGGTGATTTGGAGTACGCGTTCAAGAAGAAGTTGACTTTTAAAATTATGGAAAAATGTGATTGTTGTTTGCTCAAAATCAGGAAAACTGACTTCATATTTATATGAAAAAGATTTGAAAACAATTATAAAACCTTTATGTAAGCAACAATTCATATTTGATGATCGTTTCTTGGGGAGGTCAGAAAAACATACATGTGTATAATGAAAATTTTATTGATGAAATCAATAAACCAACAAGTAATTTACAAATTATTCTTCCAAAATGTACTCCAATATGTCAACCTTGTGATGTCTATTTTTATAGACAAGTCAAAATTATTATTAAACGTATACAAAACTGTCCAGATATCCTTATTAGTGGAGATAAAGTAGAATTAAATACACGATATGATGCCACAAGAATATAATCGTTAACACATTATTTATTTTTTTTATTATACAGGGTGGGTGGTTATAAGTTTACAATCTGAAGTGTACAGGTAGATTACATTAAGACAAACATAAAAGTCCCATACCGTTTACCGAGATTCGCAATAATTATCGAGTTATTAATGACAGAAATCTTGAAGAGTGGGAGCGCGCCGGCATAGATAATTGGAGAAACGTTGCAGCTGCTCAAGATACGGCGCGGCCCACTCGACCCAGCAACTGTGGGCGGCGTGCGGCGCCCACGCCGCAGACGTAATTCCGACGAGATAAAACAACGAATAGCGGCGCGTTATCCTTCCCCTCGTCTTCCCGCTATGTCGGCGCGCTTCTACTCCTCAGATTTCTGTCATTAATAACTCGATAATTATTGCGAATCTTGCAACACGGTATGGGACTTTTATGTTTATCTTAACCCAATCTACCTTCACACTTCGGGTGGGCAGCTTATAACCGGTCACCCTATAAATGCGTGTTTTCGTCACGCGTTCTCCTCGCGGAGATGATTATCGGTGCTATCCTTTCCACACCATCTAGCGGTAGATAGCATGGCGCGTTTTTTTTATAGTGGTATCCCCAGGAGGCCTAATCCACTGTACATTAATGCATCAATGTAAAAACTGCTCGAAGTGCCGTCCTTCTCGCATACAAAATTTGGCTCTTCGTTGAATATCGCGCGTTGCTCGGTGCGTCATTTCCGGCGTGATAGTATTGAAAGCCGCGACAATTGCCTCACGTACTTCTTGTTCTGTACCATCACGCCGCTGTTCGATTAAATTCTTAACGTGACCCCATAAGAAATAATCGAGCACATTAAGGTCAGGAGATCGCGGCGGCCAGGTGATCGGACCACCTTGACCTATCCACCTTTCCGGGAAACGCGTATCTAATGCATCTGGCACTTGCCGGCTAAAGTGCGCAGGAGTTCCATCATGTTGAAAGATCAACTCCGCTCGTGCCTGTAGAGGGACGTCCTCGAGTAGCCCTGGGAGTTGATTTTTGATAAAATCCGCGTAAATCTCGCCATTAAGCCGAGCTGGCAAGAAGTACGGACCGATCTGAAAATTATGAAATGTTAGAAAATCATTGCGAGAAAGAAATTTCTTCAATCGAATGGTACTCACCACTCGGTCCGCAATTACTCCGGCCCAAACATTAATACTCCAGCGATACTGGAACGCGCCTTCTCGAATGGCGTGTGGATTTTCTTCCTGCCACAATAGGAAATTCCGCGAATTAAATACGCTGTTCGGTGTAAAGGTCGACTCGTCCGTCCACAGGATGCGGTCGGGGAATGAAATATCCCGCCGACACTGCATGAATAAACCTATGCATTTCAACGGTGATTAATAAAATCAATAAACTGGCAGCAAAAGAAATAACTTGTAAAGCCAATACCTTCACAGAAAAAGACGCGCTTCTGCTCATCTGCTGGGAGAAGTTGCTGCACGCGTTGAAAATAATACGGGCGCAGATTGTTTTCCCGTAATGTGCGCCGCACCAAATTGCGCGAGACATCCAATGCAGTCGCTACCTTTCGCGTGCTGTTGCCGGGGTCTCTCTCAAATTCGTGCAAAATGCGCTCTTCAGTATTTACATTCTGCACTCTTTCACCTTCTTCTCGTGTATGTCGCAGGACCGATCCCGTCGCCTTTAATCTCGCAATACACGAGACAATTGTGTGTCGAGAGGATTTGTCGCGCGCGGGAAATCTTTCTGCGTATAAACGTTCCGCGGCAAGTGCGTTCTCACTTGCCAAACCGTACGTTATAATCATATCGGCGTATTCACTCGCGGTGAACATCTTTACACGTTTCTTCCAATAGTTATTTCTTCAGGCTGTATCGTCCACTGAGGCCGTGTCCGCAGTCGCATTCCACGAGTTTGCCTAAAACAATTGACGATAGACGAAGACATTCTTATATCACATCTCAACGGCGAATCTCTTTACGCAGTCTTCGTCGATCGTCAATTGTTTTAGGCAAACTCGTGGAATGAGACTGCGGACACGGCCTCAGTAGACGATACAGCCTGAAGAAATAACTATTGGAAGAAACGTGTGAGCAGCTGCAACGTTTCTCCAATCATCTATGCCGGCGCGCTCCCACTCTTCAAGATTTCTGTCATTAATAACTCGATAATTATTGCGAATCTCGGTAAACGATATGGGACTTTTATGTTTGTCTTAATGTAATCTACCTGTACACTTCAGATTGTAAACTTATAACCACCCACCCTATATATTACTATATTTTATAATATTTCTGTTTTTAATATTTTTATTATTTTTTATAAGACAAAAATGTAATGCACACATATACAATATCTGTCTTATTATATAACAAATAACAAGAATAAATGTTTTAATTATTTATTATAAAATTCAATTTATTATAGAAATATAAAATATAGTAATATATGATAAAAAAAAGTTGGCACTGTGAGAACTCGAACCCACGCCTCGGACGTAAACGACAAGATACTAGTGCGCGCCTTAACCTTCGCGGCTACCGCGCTTCACGTTTATTGACTCCAAATTACTACACTTAACATGTAGCTGTTTTTTTAATTGCAAATTTCTCGCAAACGAAGGCCCATGCACGCAAACTCTTTTAGGGTTTTTATGTATTCAACTGCCCATTCGAATGAAATAACACATCGATCAATAAGTCCCGGGACTGACTACTAAAACAACATTTGTTTGCCAAAATTCTTCTTTATTCATCAACATAATCTCCTTCAAGAGTGATACATTCATTCCAACACTTTCCTAACTTTTCTATGCCAGCCATGTAGAACGATTTATCTTTGGTTTCAAAATAGGCGTTAGTTTTGGCAATCACTTCTTCATTGGAGCCAAATCTCTTTCCCTGGAGCATCTTTTTGAGGTCAGGCTGCGAACAGCCAATAATCGCTGGGGGCCAAATCTGGAGAATACGATGGGTGCGGAAGCAATTCGAAGTTCAACTCATGCAATTTGGCCATCGTTACCATCGACCTGTGACACGGTGCATTGTCATGATGAAAGAGAACTTTTTTCTTCTTCATATGAGGCAGTTTTTTTGCAATTTCTGCCTTCAAACGCTCCAATAACGCTATGTAATATTCACTATTGATGGTTTTTCCCTTTTCAAGGTAATCGATGAATATTATACTATGCGCATTCCAAAATACGGAGGCCATAACCTTCCCGGCCGACTGTTGAGTTTTTGGTCGCTTCGGACGACTTTCACCGGCTGCTCTCCATTCAGCTGACTGCCGATTTGATTCCGGAGTATAGTGGTGGATCCAAGTTTCATCCATTGTCACATACCGACACAAAAATTCCTGTTTATTTCGCGTAAACAGTGCCAAACAGCGCTCTGAATCACCGATGCGTTGTTGTTTCTGTTCCATTCTGATCAAACGCGGCACCCATTTCGAAAAAAGCTTTTTCATGATCAAATGTTCATGCAAAATAGTGTAAACACTACCAAATGATATCTTTAGGATGTCAGCTATCTCACGCAACTTTACTTTGCGATTTTCCATCACGATTTTGAGGGTTTCTTTTATGTTTTCTGGTGTAACAGTCTCATTTAGACGACCAGAGCGTTCAGCATCATTTGTGTCTGTACGACCGCGTTTGAAATCAGCATACCAGCGACAAATGGTTGTTTTCGATGGAGCAGAGCCTGGATAACACTTTTCAAGCCATCGCTGAGTTTGAATGGTATTTTTTCCTATTAAAAAGCAATGTTTTATTAACACACGAAATTCGGTTTTTCCATTGTTTTGAAAATAGCAAAAGTAGCGTCACTAAAACCACTGTAACTCAATGGCCGCGTTCAGTAGAACAAAGTGATCAGAGAGCACTTAGTGATTATTATCTGTGATTAAAGCATTCTTTTAGATTCTTCATAGACCCAGAAGTATTTACCAATCAGGAGCGAGATTCAGTGGAAAATCTAGTAATGTTGTTCAACTGTTGAGTCTACTGAATGCGGCCAATGGCTGCATTCAGTAGACTCAACAGTTGAACAACATTACTAGATTTTCCACTGAATCTCGCTCCTGATTGGTAAATACTTCTGGGTCTATGAAGAATCTAAAAAAATGCTTTAATCACAGATAATAATCACTAAGCGCTCTCTGATCACTTTGTTCTACTGAACGCGGCCAATGACACAATGTCGGAATGTCATGAAAGTTTAACACATAACTTCTAAAGGTTGGTACTAACTGAGAATGGTATGGATTTGTTATTAGAGGCGCCATCTGTTGGTTAGGTCCCGGGACTTATTGATCGATGTGTTATGACTCATTCAATTATCGATTTTACATGTCTTGTCATCTCCTTGTTAATCGTCCAATATCAACCAGGATAATAAATCTATCGGCTCTTACTTTATCTTGTAACTTAATGTACGCAAAATGCCGGATTATACTTCAAACGAAATTATTGATATTATTCTGATACTTGGAGAATGCCATAATAATTATCGACAAGCAGCGGTATTGTACCGTAATCGATTTCCTCATAGACGATATCCAAATTATTATATGATTTCTAGGCTTGTATTGCGTCAACGGCAACGTCAACGTTAAAAACGACAAAAACATCATATTAACGTACCAGAAAGGGATGATTCAATAGTACTTGCCGTATTGGGAATGATAGCTATTAATCCACGCGTGTCAACGAGACAAATTGAAAAAGAATTAAGTATTCTGAAATCAATAAGTCACAGAATCTTGACCATTCATAACTTCCATCCTTACCATATTACTTTGACACAACAATTAACACTCAATGATTTTCAACAAAGACTAGAATTTTGTGAGCACAGATAATATCAAATCGCGATCGAATCAGATTTGTTTTATTTAATGACGAAGCAACTTTTCACAACACTGGACAATTAAATCGGCACAATTCTCACTATTGGTCTGTTGAAAACCCATATTGGTATTGATAAGTTAATCATCAACATCGCTGGAACCTCATTGTATGGTGTGGAATATTAACCCCTTGGGTACGGATTTATTTGAGAAAATATTTGCATGTGGAACGGTTTTATATTACAATTGTCATCATTTTCTGGTTCACGAGAAGATTCACTATCACTGCTCGATAGACGTCTTGTGCGTCTTCGAAACCTTGATATTATATTAAAATTGTCATCATTTTCTATTTCAATATCGTCTTCATCACCTTCGCTTTGTATTTCATTATAATTGTCAATTTCAGGATCACTAAACAATTCTTCTTCAGATTTCTCAAAGTCACTTTCGCTATCACTATCATAAAATATATTTCTTGTTTTTGACATAATGGGGCAGTGTATCGCAAATAATGTTCACCGAAATACTGTAATTGCCTCTTCTATTATGACTGATACAAGCTACAATGAAATGAACAGAATTGTGCCTAACCTCAAATATCGTTTTAGACACGTCATCCGCTCCTAGGGAAAACAAGTGAATGACGTCTCTCAGACGTCAAATGTACCCAAGAGTTTAATTTTTGGTTTGACGTCTTAAACACGTCATCCGCTCCTAGGGGAAAAAAGTGAATGACGTGTCTCAGACGTCAAATGTACCCAAGGGGTTAAACGGAAACCTCATCGGCCCTTGTTTCGACGAAAATGTGAATGGTGATAATTATTTACATTTTCTACAACAAAGATTGCCGGCATTACTTGAAAATATCGATCTGGACACAAGACAAAGTATCCTATACAGCACAGACAATTGCAGCAATATTGCTGCAATATTGTAACATTGCACATTGCAGTGCAATATTGCAGAGACATTGCAAAAACAATATTTTGCATTATTATATATCTGCAATGTTGTAGCAACATTTCAAATTGCGGTTATTATTAACAAATTATACGAAATATCGCTAATTGGAAGAGCTAAATGTTTTCGTTTCTCTCGCTTAGCTCTATGCCCTTATGGAGTTGGTATGTTACAATTATGAGACATTTTGTATTACTCTACATTGCAATACATTGCTCTAATTCTCATATGTAATCACCAATTACATTTAATCACTACGATTTGGTTTTACAATGATTTAGTTTCATATCCCAAATTTATATGTCTTATTAATTCAAGAATAGTTGCCGTAAGTCTTTAAGACCTGTATTATTCCAAATAGCAAGATGACATCTTATTGACGTTCTATTAAGTCAGTAAAATGGCGTCTTTTTAAGATATTATTTTATTCTTTGAAATATTACAAATCTTGGGAACTTTCTGTGACTATTTTTGTTTGATGTCAGAAATGAAAATAATGGTATATTCTAATCTTTTTTGTTCATGTACGTTAAAATAAGAGATTTCCAACGACACTTATGATCGATTTTACAAATTTGTAAAATATTCTGAACATTTCTTTTGCTGTACGATAATCATTCACTGTAAATAATTAGTGAAATGTATACAAATGTTGAATTGAACATATTATCTCTCATGATTATTGTTACAGAATTTTTATGGAAAATTATTGATTGTCACAACAAGGGGAAAGTGTGTCCAGAATATTTTATAAATTTGTTAGATCGATCACAAATATCATCCTCTAGAATGTATCTATATAACAAAAACAATTTTTGGCATACGATCTTTCGCTTCTGCCGTCATCAAATAAAAACTTTCCAGAAAACTCTCAATATATATGAGGTGTCCCATTTTAAAGGACGTACTCAAATATCTCAAAAACACTGCGTTAAATCGAAAAATGTTTCAGACAAAAGTTGTTTGGCTTGAAAGGGGACATAAGACAGCGACAGCATTTTGTTCATAGATGGCGTCACTTTCGAGATATTCACTGATCATTAATTTTCTCAAACAGAAATCCCCATCTCTTATTATATCATCTT